CAAAGGAGAGCGGAGGTCAGATAAATGGAAGGAGTCAGTTGAGACCTCAGTACCTGAAGTGGGTGAGGAAACAGCACTGGCAAGAGGTACAGAGGCATTAGGAGTGTCCGAAGAGTGGTCCAAAGACTAGGCGGGGTGCGGTATCAAGAAGGGGCCTGGGGTAGCAGGTTCATGGACTAGGGCTTCCATGGTTAGGTTACTTCCTTCTTTTTGTTTTTAAGAAAAAAAAAGAAAGAAGAAAAGAAAATAAAAATAAAAAAAAGGGGGGACTGGGGAGGGATAGTTCCTGGGAGGAATGAGAGGGCCAGAAATCTCCCTTGGCACCCAAGAGGACCTCAGCACCACAAGTAGTGCAGATGCAGCATGGAACCCGTGCCATACCCTACCCATCATGCCACTAAACCAGCAATCTGGGATAGCAACCTCACATCTGCCGAGCTACCTCGGTGGACAAAAGAGAGGGCAGCCGGATATCTGCCACAAAGCATACCTCTTTTGGTCACCACCCCCGGAATCTGAAAGGCCACCTCCAGAGATACACCCGTCACCCGAAAGATACCCAAAGCCACTCCCCGGGAGACCAGAGAGGGATTGGGACATCCCCACGCGATCCAGATTCCACGGCAAACTACACCACCGCCAAGAACCTCAATGGAATGGGATGGACCCCAGTACCCTTTCCCCTACCCAGGAACTAGCGTGCCTGTGGGGGAAAAAAAAAGGCCAAAAAGAGGAAGGGTAATAGGGAGGGGTGGGGAGGAGGAGGAGGAAAAGAAAAAGGGAGGATGGGATAAGGGAGGAGGGATTGGGGGGTAATTAGGTTCGGTCTGAGGAAGGAGACCAACAGGTCTAATTCCTCAGACCAAGAGCCTCCTCACCACGCCAAGGAGCCCCCCTTGAAGAGGTCCCTATCAATAAATGAGGACATATTTATGCATCTGTAGCAGCCTACTCAAGACGTCAATACTGGGATATACTTCCCTTAATACAAACTAGGGGAAATTGGGTCAGTTACAATACCCAGCTAAATGCAGCCATACCAACGTCTAATTACATTAGCTGCAGCTAATAGTAGTGGTGCGATTTAACTGGAGTTACCAATTGATCCTGTGACATGTGGGTGAATCACTCAAACCCAAGTGAGTACCACTGTGCATTACAGATGATAGAGAAATGCTGAGATATACGCTCCTTTGGGGCAAATTGTATAACAAACTTGTTAATCAACAGCCACTCTGGAAACTGGAACGGCACCCTGAAGGGATTTCCAGGGAGAGGCTGCTGGACATTGAGCTGTTAAAAGATAAAAAAAAAATTGTCTTGTATTTGTTTCATGCAGGAAAGTGTACTTATCTAACCGGTTCTCCACAAATTGGTCCTCTATGAACTGGAGAGTAGCCACACAGTGGTCCAAGAACTTGCAAGTTTACAAGTAATAAAGAACTTATGGTCCTTCCACAAACTGTTAAAGACTGGAGTCTTAACAAAATATTTGAGTTACTACAAGTACTCGGTCAAAGAGAACTGTGAGTTAGGGCCAGCTGCCTCTCACCAGAAAACAGGAGTCAGCTTTTTGCCTCTCAATAGTGGCACCCACCCATACCTGCTGCTCACCCAGAGCAGCATAGTAAACGGGGCACCCAGCACTGCTCATCCAGTCTCAGCGCCCAGCACTCAGTGCACACCCATGGGGCATCAACAGACAAAAACTGTGGTCTCAGACCAGTTTGGAGTTTACCTGGAGTTTACCTGGAGAGAGTTCCGGGGGTCAACGCCCCCGCGGCCCGGTCTGTGACCAGGCCTCCTGGTGGACCAGAGCCTGATCAACCAGGCTGTTACTGCTGGCTGCACGCAAACCAATGTACGAGCCACAGCCCGGCTGGTCAGGAACCGACTTTAGGTGCTTGTCCAGTGCCAGCTTGAAGACTGCCAGGGGTCTGTTGGTAATCCCCCTTATGTATGCTGGGAGGCAGTTGAACAGTCTCGGGCCCCTGATATCTGGATATCTGGATATCTGGTGATATCTGGAGAGAGTTCCGGGGGTCAACGCCCCCGCGGCCCGGTCTGTGATCAGGCCTCCTGGTGGATCAGAGCCTGATCAACCAGGCTGTTACTGCTGGCTGCACGCAAACCAACGTACGAGCCACAGCCCGGCTGGTCAGGAACTGACTTTAGGTGCTTGTCCAGTGCCAGCTTGAAGACTGCCAGGGGAGTGCTGGGAGGCAGTTGAACAGTCTTGGGCCACTGACACTTATTGTATGGTCTCTTAATGTGCTAGTGACACCCCTGCTTTTCATTGGGGGGATGTTGCATCGTCTGCCAAGTCTTTTGCTTTCGTAGTGAGTGATTTTCGTGTGCAAGTTCGGTACTAGTCCCTCTAGGATTTTCCAGGTGTATATAATCGTGTATCTCTCCCGCCTGCATTCCAGGGAATACAGGTTTAGGAACCTCAAGCGCTCCCAGTAACTGAGGTGTTTTATATCTGTTATGCGCGCCGTGAAGGTTCTCTGTACATTTTTTAGGTCAGCAATTTCACCTGCCTTGAAAGGTGCTGTTAGTGTGCAGCAATATTCCAGCCTAGATAGAACAAGTGACCTGAAGAGTGTCATCATGGGCTTGGCCTCCCTAGTTTTTGAAGGTTCTCATTATCCATCCTGTCATTTTTCTAGCAGATGCGATTGATACAATGTTATGGTCCTTGAAAGTGAGATCCTCCAACATGATCACTCCCAGGTCTTTGACGTTTGTTTTTCGCTCTATTTTGTGGCCAGAATTTGTTTTGTACTCTGATGAAGATTTAATTTCCTCGTGTTTACCATATCTGAGTAATTGAAATTTCTCATCGTTGAACTTCATATTGTTTTCTGCAGCCCACTGAAAGATTTGGTTGATGTCCGCCTGGAGCCTTGCAGTGTCTGCAATGGAAGACACCGTCATGCAGATTCGGGTGTCATCTGCAAAGGAAGACACGGTGCTGTGGCTGACATCCTTGTCTATGTCGGATATGAGGATGAGGAACAAGATGGGAGTGAGTACTGTGCCTTGTGGAACAGAGCTTTTCACCATAGCTGCCTCGGACTTTACTCTGTTGACGACTACTCTCTGTGTTCTGTTAGTGAGGAAATTATAGATCCATCGACCGACTTTTCCTGTTATTCCTTTAGCACGCATTTTGTGCACTATTACGCCATGGTCACACTTGTCGAAGGCTTTTGCAAAGTCTGTATATATTACATCTGCATTCTTTTTGTCTTCTAGTGCATCTAGGACCTTGTCGTAGTGATCCAATAGTTGAGACAGGCAGGAGCGACCTGTTCTAAATCCATGTTGCCCTGGGTTGTGTAACTGATGGGTTTCTAGATGGGTGGTGATCTTGCTTCTTAGGACCCTTTCAAAGATTTTTATGATATGGGATGTTAGTGCTATCGGTCTGTAGTTCTTTGCTGTTGCTTTACTGCCCCCTTTGTGGAGTGGGGCTATGTTGTTTTTAGTAACTGTGGGATGACCCCCGTGTCCATGCTCCCTCTCCATAGGATGGTAAAGGCTCGTGATGGGGGCTTCTTGCAATTCTTGATGAACACGGAGTTCCATGAGTCTGGCCCTGGGGCAGAGTGCATGGGCATGTCATTTATCGCCTGTTTGAAGTCATTTGGCGTCAGGATAACATCTGTGTGAAAATTTGTGTGGACTACCTCCAAGTGAGTCGCCTACCCTGGCAAACTCTGTTGACACCGAACTCTGAGGTCGGTACCTCAGCCTCACAAGTGGCTTATAGGACAGATTTTCACAAATGATTGATGTTGCAGAAAACTCGCCTGCATGCACGTATAAAGGACTAACTTACTTGGTGTTGCAGCATATATCCTGATCTTCAACTTCCCTAAGCTTAGCCTTAGCCCCTTTGGACTTCCCCTCAGAAACCACGTGCAACCGGGAGCCTTAATTCCTGCAATATTCAATCGTTATTAGTGTCCTGCCTGCACCTCAGAAATTCCTATATCCAAGAGAGTATGTATCCCCTAGTATAACTATGCAGACACGGACACTAGCTTCCAGACTGCCTTGAGACACTGGTACTTACTGGGCATGCACTGCCTGTTGCACACCAGGCCCACAGATCAAACTCACTCACAATTCTCCCCAGACACTGGCCAGAAATCTACGAGATAAAGTGGAGGTCTTGTCTTACTGTATGGGTCTGACGGAGGTCATCTACAGTACATCGAGGTGCCTCTACCAGATTTCCCTAGGTCTCGAATGTGAAGACACGTGGGGGGCGCCGTCTGCTGATCACGGCACATCTTGTCCAGTTGGTGTCTGTCTTAAGAAGAACGAGCTGGTCTCTCTTCCAGACCCTTGTCTCTTCGTTCAAACTAGGGCTGCCAGTTCTCCCTAGCTAACTTATCCTAGTGTTTGCCTACATTATCGGCCTATTACTACCTATGTTAAGGTCTTAGGTCTACATTATTATCTACAGTTGCCTCAATGATCCTAATATTAGTGTACTACCAGTAAAACTACCTACTCCTTCCCTGAAGGGTAAATCTATAATTTTTTTTTTCTTATGAAAAGATAGAGAATCTTTTCCCGATCATAATGACACCAAAAGTATGAAATTTGATGGAAAACTTACGGAATTATGTTCTCGCAAAGTTAGCTGTCTCGACGATGTTTACGATGTTTACGCATCAGCGATTTTGCCCATTTTGAGCTCTATTTTCGGCCAATTCCAGTGTACTAGTCGACAAAAATCATAACTATTTTGCTAGAACTCCATTTTTTCTATCGAATGAGTACAAGAAACCACCCATTTACCGATTTCAACTTGTCAGCATAGTTGCTGATCCCCCTTACATATGTTGTATAGCTTAGCTGAGTATCATAGTACCATCCATGTGTTTTATATAGACGATCCCTACTAGGCCTAGCGACTGTATGACGTCACGGGATGCGGCATGAGCGAGTGGGATGCGCTACCTCGCTCTCAGTCCACGCATAGGTCTACACACGGCAGGTTGGGCTCCCTTACCACAGTCTAACAATATATATATTGTGGCCCGGTGGCCTGGTGGCTAAAGCTTCCGCTTCACACATGGAGGGCCCGGGTTCGATTCCCGGTGGGTGGAAACATTTCGACACGTTTCCTTACACCTGTTGTCCTGTTCACCTAGCAGCAAATAGGTACCTGGGTGTTAGTCGACTGGTGTGGGTCGCATCCTGGGGGACAAGATTAAGGACCCCAATGGAAATAAGTTAGACAGTCCTCGATGACGCACTGACTTTCTTGGGTTATCCTGGGTGGCTAACCCCCCCGGGGTTAAAAATCCGAACGAAATCTTATCTTATCTTACCATCCACAAGTGTGTTTATCTTCAACCATCATATCTCCTTTCGACCCCCCACGACAAATTGGTGCCAGCGGTGTGGGCGTAAAATTGATAATTACGCCAATGCATGGAGATAAATGCAGCCGACAACGGACATTTTGTGTGGTCAGTAGGCCGACCTAGCCAAGCAAGCTTTTACCAGTCCTCTGCATTATTCATTGGTCAGTCTCTGTGTATTAGTGTTTATTTTGCTATTTGCATTACCTCCGAGGAGTTGACCCGGGTTTGCAAAGTAAGCCAAGCCACTTGAGCCAGTCTGTGGTGGGGGAGTCAGCCCAAGTCCAGTCCAGCCAGCCTTACACCATCCAGCCTTGCCTGCCAAGCGAGCTTTCCACCCCTGCTGTGCTCATCGTTACAAGTTATCAAGCCAGTCTGTGTGAAGGGTTAAGCCAAGCCAGCCAGCAACTAACCCAGGTGACTAACCCAGTACTCAAGCAAGCCACGTGGGTATAGTCGTCTTCTTTGCTTTGTGCTTCAAGTTCCAAGCCATTCTGAGAGCTTTTATCATCCCTGTGGTGTTGTGGTATTTTGTGGGTTTGTTTTTAAGCCAGCCCGGCTTAGAATATCTTTGTGCCTAGTGCAGGTGTCCCCAGTGTGGCTTACGCCGTTCATCCCATAGGCCCAGTCACGACGCGGTGTCTCACCACCGCGCTGCCTCAACCACCCACCTCACCCACTACCACTGTTTTTGTACCCTTATTACGGGTTCTAGCACCATATTTTTAAGGACCACATAGGGGGCCAAGAGCCAGAGTGTTCCTTCGTCAGTTGCGCCATCATAAAAAGCCTCTTGTGTGAGTTCATCGTCGATTTAAGAGCAAATTCTTCGGTCACGTGTGGAGAGTAGTCAGCGAAAGCCGCCAACCACAAGTAAACCACCACCTTCCTTCACCATCCATCACATTTTACACCACGTCGCTACAGTGTTAATGAATAATATTTTTCATAGAGACATTTGCGAGTGTTGAGACAATTTTCTTGACTGATTTCTTAGTGACATTCAGTGACTCTTGATTAGACTCAGTGTTTATTATATACTGTTTGCAATATTTTTTTTTCTCTCTTTCTTCAGTGTTAATTTTCGTGCTTTATTTTATGTCTGTTGTGTTGTGTTTCTTTTTATATATACTTGAAGTAAGTACTTTCATGTTTTTTCCTTGTTGTGTGCAATATATAAGCAGTATAAAACTTGTGTTTACACTTCACAATTATCTTGTGTTCACAGTATTGCAGTGAAGTAATTCAGTAATTTATTACCTTATATTCTGCATCACAACTCAGTGTTGTCTTCTATATTTTTTCTCCCAACATTTGTGTATTCTTGCTGTTTTTGTTTTCATTCATTTGCCATTTTAATTTTTCTCTGTGTGTTGAACATTCTTGTGTTAATTCTTTTCATTTAGCCAGTGTCTAATTTGTCTTATTTCCACAGACAATAGTGCCATTATTTTGTTCAAGCAAGAAAATTATTTTCCAATTTTTCACACCTCAAGTTTCATTGCACGAAAATTATAGTATTGTGTTTATATATATGTGTTGTGTTCTGCATCACTGTAAGTGTTCAAACCTTTTTGTTTTGTGTTTTTGCATCTATTATTTTTATATTTCATTGAACAAATTCACTCTTAGTGCAATTTTAAGTTCTTCTTTTAAAGTAAGTCATTCTTTTGTTTGTTCAGTAAGTGTTGCTTAAGCTGCAATTAAGAATTAAAGTGTTCAATCAGTTCATTCCTTGATAATATTTTTTTTCTTGTAAACTATATTTTGTGTGTAATTTTTTTTATCATTGCAACATTGACTCATTTTACAATAATTCTTGTGTAAACATTGTGTTGCCATTAAAATTTTTCTTGCAGAAATTTTATGTAGTATTGTGCAGTACTTTTGATTAGAAATTATTTGCAATATTGCTACAGTTTATTTCAGTGTAATATTCTGTGATTTCAGTTTTACATTTTCTGTGCATAATATTTTGTTCCTTGTGTGTCACTCAATATTTTTTATTTAGAATTGCTTTCCCAGTTTTTAATTTTGCACAAGCTTTATTGAGTCCATTTTAACATTTTTGATTGATTTATCATTTTATTGTTGAATTTCCTTATTGCACTGAGAGTAAAGACAACTCACTGTGCCATTAATTCAATTTAAAGTAAATTTGAGTAAAGTACAATTTCTCTTGATTTTCAAAGTGTTGCTTATTCAGTTGAGTATTTTCTTTTGTGAGTGTGAGTTTTCCATGCTTACAGTGTGACTTATTTTTTTAAAATAAGTAATTTCTTCCTGTTTAAGCTTACTGTGTCATATATTCTCTTTATTTTCTTGCCTTTATGTCCTTGAGTAAGTTCCCTGAGAAGATGTCCCAGTCACTTTTGAATGTTCACTTAGTGTATCATGCCAGTCAAAGTCAATATGGATCAGTCCACATTTATTATTATTATTATTATAATCAAGGGGGAAGCGCTAAACGGATCAGTCCACAGTACCAATATTCCCTTACTGACTGAAGGACAGTACCTAGCTAGACAATGTGTTTCTCACAGTTTGTATCTGAGATTTGTTAAAGTGCTGCGAAATGTGAAGTTCAGATTAAGTTCCTATAGATCCGTGAATTACTTATTAACATAGCCGAGCGGCCAGGCACTAGTAATACTGTCACTCCTATTTGGACTCCAGCCACAATATCGTGCACGCAGGATAGTGTACAGTTACCTTGGGTTTCAGAGGAACCTCAGACAACCTTGGGTGCTGAGACTACTATCCCTGCGATGGCGACTTGTTCAAGTATTCGTTCCTTCCCAGGGGACGCTTTGAGAAGAACTTTACTTGCAACGAGTTATGCCATCTCTTGCTGATGCCACAAGCCGTTGCAGAAAGACGTTTCTGTGGCTAGTGTACTCACTTGAGTGTTGTTGTTGTCCCCTGTGTTCCATATGGTGATCCCATCCTAGTTGACAGTAATTCATGCAATGTAAGAAGTTGTTTCTCAAGTAACTTTCACATGTTAACGTTTGTAAGTGAAGTTTCTTTATAGTTGATACCTCATGTCACTGTGTGCGACTCAGATTGAATATCTGTATTGTTGATCATGTCCATTTATTTTCCAGTGCTTGCAGTGAGAGATAGATTCGTTCTCTCTTGCTCATATTGCGTGTTATAGCGTTATTTTTTTCAACCGGGGAGAGTCCTCCACTCCACCGAGCTTGTTCATTCCTCCAGTAAGAAAGAACAGATCCCATGTGGTCTGGTGTGATTCGATTCCTGCTCCAGGAAGATCTTATTCTGACTGTGAAGCCACCAGGACCCATTAGTGACTTTGTAATGAGCCAAGTATTACTGTCTCGAACAGCCGAGTTCAGTACTCCTAGGAGAAGAGTTAGTAATTCCACAGTCACTAGTGAATGTAGCTGTATCTTTTGTAGATACTCGCTCAGATTGTCCTCAGTCAAGGCATGTGTTAGCCATTGCAGAAGAGTTTGATCCACCCAAAGATAACCATTCTGCATTTGTAAACCTTACCCTCGAAGAATTGGGTTTAAATGTAAACAGCCTGCATAATTAGATGTCCGAGATGAATGAAATTGTCAACTGTGAGTCTTGTTATTAGCTGATCAGTTGTTCAGAAATTTTTGTGTTCATGTTCCCTCCGAATTCTGAGAATTTAGCAATACTGATCTTTGTGCACCAGATTTTGCTGTTAATTACTTTCACTTTGTAAATATATATTTATTCTTCCTCAGAATCTGTAGAGTGCATGAATACAGATCGATCGATCAATTCCATCCTTATTGTACAATGATTTGTTCTTATAAGTCGTAATGCATTACATTAAAACTCATTACGTTAACACCCATTACGTTAAAACCCATATTAACATCCATTATGATACCATCCATTAGTTCTAAGTTATATATGTCTTTGTTATTGTATAGAATCAGCCCAGAACCACCTGCCTGTTCAGCCTATAGCATAGTAGTGTATGTCGAGACGACATACGTAACATGACCGAGCTGTCAGCATAGTTGCTGATCCCCCTTACATGTGTTGTATAGCTTAGCTGAGTATCATAGTACCATCCATGTGTTTTATATAGACGATCCCTACTAGGCCTAGTGACTGTATGACGTCATGGGATGTGGCATGAGTGAGTGGGATGCGCTACCTCGCTCTCAGTCCATGCATAGGTCTACACACGGCAGGTTGGGCTCCCTTACCACAGTCTAACAAAATATGGTGTTACCATCCACAAGTGTGTTTATCTTCAACCATCATGTCTCCTTTCAAACCCCCACGACAAACTATCCAATAAAGTGGTCAGAATTTAGCAATTTTGCCAATTTCACAGAAACTTCAAAAGATGCCAGTTTCTGAATAGGGTCCAGAATAAACAAGAAAGACATTCCTGGCATTAAAATAACAAGTTCTCTGTTCGTTAGTCACATCCCCAGGCCCCTCTTATATTTCTTCAGCTTTCCACTTTGAATTTTTATTCTTACAAAAAATAGAATATTTACTATTATGCAGACTACTGCATTAGTGTAGAAATGATATAAATAATATAAGCGTACTTGTGAAAGAGACTCGCCAGTTGACGTGTATTGGACGCTTGGCATGATTTCTTTACTTTTGAAATTTGGTAAAAATCGAACATTTCTGTTAATTTGAGCTCAATTTCAAGGTACAGTGGTCCCCTGCTTTTCGTAGTTCCCGGCAATCGTAAAATTCGCCAATCTTAGGGGTATTTTCGTATAAACATGGACTTGCTTTTCATAGGTTGACTCGCGAGTCGTAGTTCGTCTGGGACGCGTACGCACAGTGTGGGCCAGGGCGGCAGCCAGTTTGGCATTGTTTACCAGTGAGCGAAGGTCCCCTCGCGTGCTCCAGCGAAATATTTCATAATATTCCATTTATTTTAGTGCTTGCAAGTACTAAATAAGCTACCATGGCTCCAAAGAAAGCTCCTAGTGCCAAGCCTGTGGTAAAGAAGGTGAGAAATACCATTGAATTTAGGAAAACCATCATTGAACAATATGAAAGTGGTACAAGTGTGGCTGAACTGTCCAGGATGTATAAGAAACCCTACACAACCTTATGTTCCATAGTGGCCAAGAAAAATGAAATAAAGGATGCTGTTGTTGCAAAGGGAGTAACTATGCTGACAAAAATGAGATCACCAGTACTGGAGGAGGTTGAGAAGTTATTATTGGTGTGGATAAATGAGAAACAATTAGAAGGAGATACTCTTATGACTTCGTTTATTTGTGAAAAGGTTAGGCAGTTGCATGAAGATTTGGTAAAGAAATTGCCTGCAAATAGTGGTGAAGTGAGTGAATTTAAGGCCAGCAAAGGCTGGTTTGAGAGATTTAAGAACTGTACTGGCATACACAGTGTGGTAAGGCATGGTGAGGCTGCCAGTT